ACCAAAATCAGCATGTTTGTCTGGACAATTCAGTATTAGTTAAGTTGCTTATACAAGTCTGCATGAATACATTTCAAGGATCAATCATTGCTGGATTTTTCATATTTGCTCTTATATGTTAAAATGACGGCAGCTCAAGGATCAGTTATTGTCTTTGTTATTTCACTCCATCCCTATGATATTATACTTTACAAATCTTGACTTATTTGCCAGAATTTTGATATGATTATACTAGATGCCTACAGAAATATGTATATTTTGATTGGCTGTGCAAGCAATTTTTAATATTCTCTAGCTTTCAAACAGTTCATCCACATCAGAAATTCGTAAAACTAGACGGCGAAGTTTTAGGATTACACCAGAGATTGGCGATGACATTGCAAGGTTGGTATTTTAATCCATGTGAATTGTTTCTTCTTTCATCGTTTAGCAGCATTTGTGTCATTTTCACCTTGCAAATTGAAGGCTCTATATTGGAGTTTATTCTGTAAATCTAAGTTGGTAAGGTATTATGAAAATCTACAATCATCTGAGTAGCTGGCAGATCACATGAAATTATGGCATGAGTCATCTCGATGCAAAACTGCTATCTCTAAACTTTTAGATGCTTAGGTGTCTATAAGATGGTAATATGATAAACATGGAACTATATCTTTAAGTTCATAGTCATAGAAGCTGTAAGCCATTTGATGGTACTCCTTTTAACTTTATGATTATGATACTGAGAATCGTGAGAAAGAACTCATGAAGAAGTGTGATTTTAAGATTTGCTTGTGTATTGACTCTGCTGTTACAAATTATTGAAGCGCTGTAAGAGAAATGTATGAGAAATCAAAGCAAAACCGTCTCTTGCAGGGCCGAGATGATGAAAACAGCTCAGGTATCGATAACAACGTAAGTTTTGGCTCTCTTTTAGTATGAGTGATTGTTTTGCTGTGTTAGTTCCTTTCTCATTGTAGAACCAGTCTAAAAGTTCTGAGTTTCTCCAGAAGGTCATTTTGTATCTTTTAGCTCGTACCTCTTAAAGTTATTGTGATTTTTATTTGTGCTTTCTCAGGTGTCTGGTCTCCATCTTGATGATGAGTTAAATTCGAAGAAGACAATGTCATTGCCATCATCTCCCCATGCTTACAGGTGTCAAACATTTGGAAGAAGAGGGCCTTCTGAATTTGCCGTGAAGGATACATGGAATAAAGTGGTTGAGTCTTCCACATTGCAGAATCAGCCTTTATTACCCTATCAAGAATGGGACATTGACTTCTCAGAGCTGACTGTTGGAACTCGGGTGGGGATTGGTAAGCTGCTCTAAATTTACTACTAACTTTGATATAGAAAATGCAGTTTTGAGTTCATTTTCAATTAGTTAAGCAAGTGTAGTTATATTTTTGACTTGCTAATGATTGTTAATCACTGATCCCTAAAATTTAATGTTAATGTCATAAAGCAAAAACATAAACGAATATAGTTTTCTGACCAAAGAAAAAAAAAACAGAGAGTTTTTGTAGACAGATTTTTTTCTTAGTTGCAGATAAACATCAGAAAATCTGAAATCTTTTGAGATATCCAATAGCGCTATTACAGCAAAAGATGGCTTATTCTTGCCATAACACCAGAGTGTTGTGTGGATATCTTCTTTTAATCACGGACACATTATCCTTCTGAAACTATAGATAAATGAGCTTTGAGGCTTATTTTGTATGCCATATTTGTACGCCATATCGAACGTCTGTTGCAAATTCAAGAACGTCTCTGTTATGTTGATATTCTGTTTTTCCATGTTAACTAAACTCAAAACTTTCATGTAAAGAGACACTGGCTTATATTTTGTATCTAGGGTTTTTTGGTGAAGTTTTTCGTGGAGTATGGAATGGGACAGATGTTGCAATCAAATTGTTTCTGGAGCAAGATCTTACTGCCGAAAACATGGAAGATTTCTGCAATGAGATATCAATTCTCAGGTATCTTGTTACCAAATTCTTGGTCATTCTTAGATCATCCCTGTGTACATCTACTAATGGTTTTGCATGTTTGCTCGGGCATCTGCGGTTCTCTCTTCAGCCGTGTTCGCCACCCAAATGGTGATTTTCTTTTTCTCTCACGTCCTCTCACTTTTTCTCTTGTCATTTTTATCAAGTAATTTGTGGAGACATGTCTAAGATTGTTTTCTTTATTTACATTTATCATATAAGTCGTGACTTGTGATCTATGTATTTGCAGTTGTACTATTTTTGGGTGCATGCACAAAACCGCCACGCTTATCCATGATCACAGAGTACATGGAGCTGGGATCTTTGTATTATTTGATCCACATGAGTGGTCAGAAGAAGAAACTTAGCTGGCATAGAAGGCTCAGGATGCTTAGAGACATATGCAGGTATGTATATAGCTTGCTTAGAGACATATGCATCTTATGTTCAAATTTATTCTGGTTCTTATCTGCCTTTGGTGCCCATGACGTTTGGATCATGGTTGGTGTATTTTAGGATGCACCATTGACTACTTGTTGCTTCTGTCATCTTTCTTTTATTTATCAGTTCCTTATTGATTATTATTGTATCTTAGTGGACAAACATTGGACAGTCACACAATTTGTTATTTTTCCTGTGATGCCTTGCATATGCTTACCTCATGCTGTTTTGTAATTTCTTATGGGATGATGCTTAAGGGGTTTGATGTGCATACACCGGATGAAGATAGTCCACCGTGACCTAAAAAGTGCCAACTGTCTAGTGGACAAACATTGGACAGTCAAGATCTGTGATTTTGGGCTCTCAAGAATAATGACTGATGAAAACATGAAGGACACTTCATCTGCTGGTACACCAGAGTGGATGGCTCCAGAGCTCATTCGCAACAAGCCTTTTACAGAGAAGTGTGATATCTTTAGTCTTGGGGTCATAATGTGGGAACTTTCAACTTTACGTAAACCATGGGAAGGAGTTCCACCTGAGAAGGTATAATATGCTGTGACATGATTCCTCTAGTGATGTTCTCATTCACCACTTCTTTCGAGGAAAAGAATTTCATTTGTTTAGAATGTGAGTTTGATTACTTAATGAAATTTGCTTCTTAGGTTGTCTTTGCTGTTGCGCATGAAGGGTCACGTTTGGAGATTCCTGATGGTCCACTCAGCAAACTAATTGCAGGTTTAATGTTGTTGAATACTATGTGTCTTGAACTTTAATACAATAACTGCTACAGTTTTGAGTTAAGTTAACCATAATTTCTGTGCAGATTGTTGGGCAGAGCCTGAAGAACGCCCAAATTGTGAAGAGATACTTAGAGGCTTGCTGGATTGTGAGTACACACTGTGTTAACGCCACTTCTTTTTTCGGGGATACGAGCCGAAAAATGTTTTAGCTCAGAAAGCAGCCCAGCTTCTTTAAATCTCGGCTCTTAAATTATCCACATGAGTAGCATACTATTTAAAGATCATGAGAACTTAGAGGCTATAATGAGACAAATTCATAGTTCAGTTTTGATAGCTGTGGAAGAGGCAGAGGCACCAAATGTAGGATACAAACAAGAGCATGTCTTTGAGGTGCCTCTGGTTGTGTGATTCATGTTCTCACAGGCAATGTTCTTTTGTTGGCTATTGAAGAGCATTTTGGTCTATCTTAAGAAAATATATACACTATTCTTTCTTGGGAGAATAAAAATCTCTTTGATTTATGTTGTCTTCATCCATTTTCTTTTCTTTCTTTTATTGCGTCTCAAGCATTCGATAATGGATTTTTTAGACAAATTAAATGAGAGACTTTTTTGTCATAGAACTTTATAAACTTATATATGTATGTGGAAATATTATTATTAAAAATTGTATGTATCATGTTAAAAAAAATTAATCAAATTTTATTTTGTTATGCTTTAGAAAAACTGAGATGATCGGGTCAAATTATCAACGACTACTATAATGTTAAACGAGATTGGTCGGCAAGCAGCTCTAGTTTATTGTGTCGGAAGACGTGAACCCAAGTCAAACGAATATTTTTTACTATTTAGATTTTAGACCAATTAAGAGGCTTCAATTTTTAAATTTCGCATCTGGTGTCAATTTTTCTTCTTCTTAATTACTGTATATCTATAGTCTATAGTCTATACGTGAAATTACTTATCTTAAAAAGGTGATTACAACTAATCTTCAATTTTCTAGTGGTACAAATATTTTCTAATTTAACGGAAAAAATCTGTGGCAGCGGAGAAACAGATCGTGATTTTTTTTAATATAATAAAACCATTTTATGCCTTTTCATATTCTGCTTCGAAACTTTTCTTTTGTTGGATTTTTTCCAGGAAAGATTTAAATTTGTCCATATGGTTTCAGTCAAACGAAAAAAAAAAAGATTAGAATAGAGGACCCATTTCTTATAGGATAGATATAAAACGAGCATTTTTAAAATGAAATCAAATCTTAGAGGGCTCCACGTTAATTTGATTGATAGTTAATTCCAATGCACTCATACTTAATCATTAGGGCCAATGGGGGTGTAAAAGCACAGTTTGGTTTTTGTTAAGGTCATACATAGTATATGATTTCTTTTACTTCGATGATTGGATCCATTAATTCCCTATACTGGTCAAAAATTTATTATCAAACCAAATTCACAAATCACTTAAGTTTAAAGGTTTTGTACATTTTAAAACGAATGTACAATGTGTCCCACGTTTCCATTCGAATCTAAAGCCTATTACTAATATTCTTGATAAAAAAAAAGTAATTATATTCTCAACTAAAATTAGTAGTATATATTATAATATTCATATATGATTCGTAATAACAGGGCATTTTTATATGTTATTCAAATTTTTGTGCTTTGTTTATTCGCATTCTATATAGTTGGCTTGTTTCTGATTACATCATGATAAGCACTTTATTATTCGCATTCTATACAGTTGTTACAAATAAACAACGAAATGATAACTTCAAACTTGGCTTCTCCGGTGAAGTCCTCCTCTGTTTCTCTCTTTCTCTATAAACTTCTATTAAAACTTCCTCCTCCGCCGTAACTGTAATCGTAACCTCCATCACCCGCCGCAATTTCCATGTCCGCTTTCTTGTTGTAGAAGATTGTTCTTCACATGCATCCTTTCTGTTGTGTCACCGATCACTCCCCTTCCACGCCGTTGCCGGAGCAACCGTCGTTCTCTATGTACGCCGCCACACCGGGAACTCCTTTCGGTTCCGCAAGGTCCCAACCGGTTATTACTCGATCTGTCTCACAACGATATAACCATCCAGGTCAAACTAATAACCACCATCTCCTCCACAGTCTCTCATTTAACCACCAGAACGTATTAGCCTTGCCGGCAGCGGCAAGGGAAGCTCCTGTAGATGTTAAGATTAACGATATCGCCGGGAATTCGATTGCTGGGATATTGTACAAATGGGTGAACTATGGAAAAGGATGGAGACCTAGATGGTTTGTTTTGCAAGATGGAGTGCTTTCGTACTATAAGATCCATGGACCTGATAAGATCGTTGTTTTACGTGAGACTGAGAAAGGATCTAGGGTGATCGGAGAGGTGTCCACGCGTATGATCTCCAGGAATAACCGTCACACCGGCAATAACAACACCAACCACCAGCTCCGCCGCAAGCCATTTGGCGAAGTCCACCTCAAGGTTTGATCAATTTTCTAAATTGATTTTGTTAGTGACATTTTCAATTTGTTGGAACAGTTTTTATGGTTAGTTTCCTCCAAATTGCTTCATTATTTTCTTCAAAAATGAAAAACTAAATTATGGCTCCGATTGGTGACTTTACCGCTGCGGTAAGAGGTCTACCGCTTGAATGGTAACCAATCATCAAAACGGTAAGCCAAAGCAATTCAAAAGAAGATGAAAGCGGTACTACTAACTTCAAAGGGGTTAGTAGTACCGCTCTGTTTTTTGTCTCGCTCTGTTTTTTTTGAATCGCTTCCGCTTACCACTCTCTCTTACATCTTTGCACTATTACTATTCCGTAACCATTTATCGCTAAAAAACTCTTACCGCTTTTAAGACCCTATATATTACATGCTTGGACCTAAAATGCAGTTTTGATGATTGAAATGATATAAATAGTGCACTCAACATTTTATTTGATCAACATCTACTTGGTGGTATAGGTTTCATCGATTCGGGAGAGTAGATCAGATGATAAGAGATTTTCAATATTCACCGGCACCAAGAGGCTTCACCTACGTGCAGAGACAAGAGAGGACAGAGAAGCTTGGATGGAGGCTTTACAAGCTGTCAAAGATATGTTTCCAAGAATGTCAAACTGCGAGTTGATGGCACCAACCAACAACTTAGACATCTCGATAGAGAAGCTTAGGCTGAGATTGGTTGAGGAAGGAGTGAGTGAGTCAGCCATTCAAGACTGCGAACAAATCACGAGGTCTGAGTTCTCGGCAATTCAGAGCCAGCTTTTGCTTCTTAAACAAAAGCAATGGCTTCTCATTGATACACTCAGGCAACTAGAGGTACTTAAAACATTCCAAACATCCATCAATATATTTCTAAACTCTTCTACGAAATTGATGTCTCTATGCCATTGTCTAGACAGAAAAAGTAGACTTGGAGAACACGGTTGTTGATGAGACTCAACGACAAGCTGACAAGGGAGACTCAGGTAACTTAAGACACAAGAAGACTTTTCTTTACTACAAACATTTTTCTATCTACCTGCCTTTATATCTTGAGGTTTTCTTTACTTGATTCCTTTTATATCAGAAGGAACTAATACTGAATCCGACGACGATAATGAACAATTTGATGAGGCTGAGGAGGAAATTGATACATGTGACTCTCTTTCGTCAAGTTCATTCAAAAGTATTGGATCCGTTTTTCGTACATCATCATTCTCTTCAGATGATGATGGGCTTAATAATGGTTTTGAGTCAGAAGATGATGTTGATCCTTCTATTGGATTTAACTATCCTCATGTCAAAAGACGAAAGAAGTTACCTGATCCGGTTGAAAAAGAGAAAAGTGTTAGCCTTTGGTCAATGATCAAAGACAACATTGGCAAGGATCTCACAAAAGTTTGTCTTCCTGTTTACTTCAATGAGCCTTTATCTTCTCTACAAAAATGCTTTGAAGATTTGGAGTATTCATATCTTCTTGATCAAGCATCTGAATGGGGGAAAAAGGTAATAAGAATATGCAAATGACCGATATTATTTAGAATTCTTTTATGATAGCCTCTTAATTTTGCGAAAAATTTCAGGGCAATAACCTCATGAGGATTCTGAATGTAGCTGCCTTTGCTGTATCTGGTTATGCATCAACCGAAGGAAGAATATGCAAACCTTTTAATCCAATGTTAGGGGAAACATACGAGGCTGACTATCCCGATAAAGGCCTTCGATTTTTCTCGGAAAAGGTTTTTTTTTTGTCTTCTTTATGAACACTTAGAAACTTCACTTATTTATTTTGGTGAAGGCAATAATGTACATAACATTCTCTTGTGAATTTTGTTGTTAGGTGAGTCATCATCCTATGATTGTGGCATGTCATTGTGATGGCACAGGATGGAAATTTTGGGGAGATAGCAATTTGAAAAGCAAATTTTGGGGTCGATCAATTCAGCTCGATCCTATTGGTTTGTTAACTTTGCAATTTGATGATGGTGAAAATGTACAATGGAGCAAGGTATGAATCTTAGTTTAAAAAAAAAAACCATTTGTGGATGGTATGTTGCTTATCCTTCTCTGTTCAAAATATAGGTGACTACATCAATATACAATCTCATACTTGGTAAATTGTATTGTGATCACTACGGAACAATGCAAATCGAAGGCAACGGTGAATACTCATGTAAACTTAAATTCAAAGAACAGTCGATGATCGATAGAAATCCTCATCAAGTTCAAGGTATAGTAGAAGACAAAAATGGAAAAACAGTGGCTAAGTTGTTTGGAAAATGGGATGAGAGTATGCATTATGTGATGGTCAATCAAGGAAAGGTGAATGAATCTCATCTTTTGTGGAAACGAAACAAACCTCCCGAAAACCCGACAAAGTATAATCTAACACGGTTTGGGATCACATTAAACGAGCTAACGCCTGGTTTAAAAGAGAAGTTGCCACCAACAGATTCAAGACTTAGACCAGACCAGAGGTATTTGGAGAAGGGAGAGTTTGAAATGGGAAATGCGGAGAAGTTGAGGTTGGAACAAAGACAAAGACAGGCGAGAGAGATGCAAGAGAGAGGTTGGAAACCAAAGTGGTTTAGAAAAGAGAAAGGAAGTGAGACTTATAGATACATTGGAGGTTATTGGGAAGCTCGAGATTCTGGTCGTTGGGATGATTGTCCTGACATCTTTGGTCAAGTTCACTAATCCATCAAGTAAACCAAAAAAAAAAACAAAAACTCCATTCACTAAATATTTTCATTTTTGTTTCGCTTGTTGTTGTTGTTTGTCTTGTTTTTTTTTTTTTTATGGGTTTATACATGCCATTTTTTCCTCTGCCAAAGAGAGTTTGTGGTGAAATAAATGAATTTCTCCTTGTATTTTTCTTGAGGTCCCTAAAAAGGAAAGAAAGATATTCTTGTTAGGTTGAAATATATAGTCTAAAGAAATGAAAATGCAATGAGGAGAAAAAAAGGTGTGCTTGGATTATTCATAGAATATATATAGTTAATAGCCAAATTATGGAGGATTTATTCGAGTGACTTGGTTCGCGTATTTTTATCAGTTGATAAAACAGTTACAAAAAGTTTTTATATTATATTTTCTTCTTCTAACTGTGTCTACCACAAAATTCTAACACTTCTTTTTTTCTGGTTGCCTAAGGTAAAAGATATATCTACTACAACTATTGGAAATTGTGCGCTTAACATTATACTGTTGTGGCATTAACTTTAGATAGAGTCATGCAAAATGAAGCAAGTTCTTGGATTCAACTTTATTGTTCAAACAATAACCAAATCTGGTGGTCCATTTACAGTTTTTACATGCATACATGTTTCGTGATTTGACCATTAATTAACATTCACATGATTGTTCTCTATATAAATCATCCATCACTCTTATACTCTTTCTTGTTCTTAAGCAAAAGCAGAGTAATAAACCCAAAGACAATAATAAATAATGGAAGCTAGAGTAATTTCTTGCACTACTTTTGGGGACGACAAGGTCGTGAAGATTGCTGTTCCAAATCATCAAGCAATTAACAAATACAAAGCCGGAGAAAACGAGACTACCGTTGTTGTTTCTGAAGATACATGTTCGGAGAAAGATGTCAAAGAGATTAAGAAGTGTTGTGAGAAGCTCGGTTACGTTTACGAAGGAAGAGTTAACGAAGAGTACACTCAAACCAACACTGGACCCGGTTTGGTCTGAAAATTTCATAATTTCAATTAACTTTCTATGTAATACTGGTTTCTGCATTTCCTTTATAAGCTCTTAGTTATCTCTTAATGATTTTGCTACTATGAATGAATTTATGAGTTATTAGTTTTTATTACATTAACGCTTTTGTGTATAAATTACATTTCTTACAACACTGAATTTGACCTTACTAATCACTGGCCTCTATTTCTGGAGATGATGATTCGGGTTTTTGAGTAGTAATGGAGATGGCTTCTTCTATAGCTTGAAAGAATGTTGCAATTTTGTAAGTAAAGAACCCAACCAACATAGGTATCAACTCCAAATGCATGAATCCATACTCAGGAACAAGTATTCTGCAAATGTATGAAGAAGTCACAAGTAAATATGATAGATGTAACCAAGTTGATTTTAATGAAAGATATATGATGCACAAGAGAGAGATGCTTACGCGTTCCATCTATTGAATATCATAACCAACACAACCGGGACTAGTAACCGTGGCTGGTTAGCTGCACCTCTATCAAATCAATTCAGTGAAACCAAAGAAAAAAAAGAGATAAGTGAGTGAGTGAGTGATTTCGATATAGATAACTGATAGGAATTTGAAGAGAAGCATTTAGTACTTGACAACTCCTCTGGCTCCATCTGCCATGGCATCTACACTGTTACCAAGCATCCTCATATATGCAAGTGAACCCATCAAGCCAGCACCAAAACTGTAACAAAATATTTCAACACAAATTAAGATTGCTTTAACAGTCCTTAACGAGATTTTGATGTTCACTGCATGAGAAGAAAAACCTAAGTGCTATCTCTGGGGTGTATGAGATATAAGCTGAGACTAAACCAACACCACCAATACCAAGTGTGAGAACCTGTATCTTATTTTTCAGCTGCAGAAAACAATCCAAAAGTCAAGAGAGTAGGAACTGAATGCCTCAGAGTAACAGAGTAGCCAATGAAGGTAAAGAGTAGTGCTTATACTAGATATCTTCATGAAATCCCAAACCGTAAAACGAATAGCCATACATGATATTTGTCATACCGTGCAAGGATTAGCTAACGAAAGGATGTACCTTGAAATATTGTTCCCTGTCTTTAGCAGCCTGTACTTCTGGGTCACCACGTGGCCGCCTCAGCTCCCTAAACATCACATCCTGCAGCAAACATTAGAAAAGGTTTACTTTGCCAATTCTGATCAATGTTTCCAATGTAACATGACATTTCAATTGGTGTAGAACTAATCAATCAAAGCACAAGTGATCCACCATTTGCAAAGATAAACTTACACTGCCACCAGTTGCAGCCTTAGTTGCTCTATCCCATTTCTCTTGCTCGCGACGAGTTGGTGCCAGCTTCCATTTAGGAGACACACTAGCCTTACTCTAATGACATTGAAAAAAAAAAAGTAAACTTCAGAGACATAAACAATTAGCAATGTGGCTTTGTCAAATTGGCAAAATGATAATTACAATCAATCTCACCATTTGCTTTTTAGCTTCTAACTTGGAGGTGTCAAGAAGATCTTTTACAACGGGTTTAGAAGACACTGCAAGCTCTTTGCTTAAATCAACATCCATACTATTTTCCACAAATAACAACAAACAAAGCAACCATTTAATCAAAATGCAAGAAAATAAAAATCTGAATTTTTCAGTTTAAAGGAGAGAGAACCTGTCAAGACTCATAACTCTACTAAAGCTCAGAAACCCAGAAGACTCTTCCTGTTAACATATCACAAAACCCTAAAGAGATTTAGTGAAACCCTAAAAAGTGAGCTAATTTGGGGGGAAAAAGATTGAACCTTTGAAGGAGATGGGTCGAGAGAAGAATCATCAGGAGAATCGAACAATTTCTTCATTTGATCCATGAAATCTCTGTTCCAGATTAAGTCTGTAGAAGTAATGGGATCTTCTTTTTCTCCTCCCCAGTACTTTCGAAGCTTGGTGGTGGTCGGAGGACCACCGTACTCTCCGGGAGCAACGCCGGTGGACCATTTCTCAGGTTTCTTATTGGGTAGAATGATTTTGGTTGGTAGACGAGAATTGGGTGATTGATCTTGAGGAAGCGGTGGTGTAGTTGATGTTGCTGAGATGTAACTGAGAATCGCCATGGATGAGTTTCTTGTGGATGTTATGATGATGATGACGATGATGACGAAGACAAAGTTTTCAAAGTTTATTTGTGTTTGGTTTTAAACAAGAAAAAAAAAAAAAAAAATCTCAGCTTGTGGTAATTTTGGACTTGTGATATTTTCATAACAAATATGGAAAAATGTCACAAAAAAAGAGGAGAATTCGGAAAAAAATAGAATCTTAACTTAAAATATATTAAAAATAAAATAAAAGAAGAGAATCTCTTTAATTTGTATATAAATCCCAATTGTTGTATGTTCTCTTTGTTAAAGGTATATAACTTTGAACCCTAAAAGGCTAAAACATTGGTGTAGGTTTCTTCATCGAGAGACAAAGATGTTAGCAATACACATAAGTACCCAACAATTCATCAAAAGTATAAGTCAGGGATTTGAAGACAGTATTAGCAAATTACCTGACGATTTGCTCATAGAGATATTGTTGCTTCTCCCTACAAAAAATGCAGCATCTACCATAATTTTGTCGAAACGATGGCGATCTCTTTTTACGGTGCTACCACAAGATATGTATTTCAAGTTAAAGTTACTTTTGAAGGTTGAAACGGTACGGTACTAGTAAAATTATTGCTATCATGATTTAATTTTATCACAAAAAAAAAGAAACATTATTGTTATGATCAAATTTCCAACGTCTAATTATTTATGTTGTTATATATATATGTTCATTGCAGGTTACGTGTTATCACCCCATTATCTCCCTGCTTAAAGGGTGTAGAATATGTCCACCAAATAAAGTAGATTGGTTGCAACCATTTATGTTGTTTCTTCAAAAATCTCCTAAAATAGAAGATCTTTTCATCGTCGACAAGAATCGTAACCCCCACTCATGCAGTTTTGATGGACTAATTAATAAATATCTAAATTGAACTAGTCAAACGTTATGTAGTTACATATACTTAGTACTTAGTACATATATCTTTGATGTTGCTTCACAGACAAACTCGGGCTTCCCACTTTCATTCAACCCACCGATTTCTGTTCCAGAATGTTTGTCAATCCATCTCAAGATCTTTGAGTGGCAAGGATATGGAGGACGAAAGGCAGAGAAAGAAGTTGTAAAGTACATATTGGCCAACTCTACGTGTCTAATAACAGCTTACATCTCCATTGAATTAACCCACCGTCGTCATAGAGGTAGAAAGAAGAACAAGATGATGAAAGAGTTAGCATCTATGTCAAGGGTTTCAACATCATCTAAGCTTATCTTCCCTACGTCTCAATCTAGTGATGATTGGAGTGATTTTTCTTTTTTTTTGTGAGAGACTGGTATTGTTTCATTAGATTGTTTCATTAGAGCATCTCCAACTCCACTCTATTCTTTTCTCTAAACTCTATTATAGAGTAACATTTTCTCCTAACCCTACTCTATATTTTACTCTCTAAAATAGAATGAATGATAGGATTGCTCTATATATAGAAACAACTAGAAAGTTAGACCAATGAACGTAAGAATTCAAGAAAAGGCATCGAAAATGCTATGATTAAACATAATAACCAAGAAAATAACAATGACTACAGAGACACATGCAGTGCATCTTCAAAACAAGTTTAGAATTTCCAATCTCGTAAGGTAGTGGAAGGTCCCAGTAAAAGTAGTGAGTTCTTGCTATTGTCTGTTCGGAACAAGCTTTCTTTGTGATCGGACAAAAATAAGCAATGAACCCCTTTTTCTCTTTATGTAAATCGATGTGAAGCAACATGTCATCATCACTGTCATTCCCAAGAGAAATGGTCTAGCCTAGACCTGAGTTTGCGACCTCGCGGGTGACTTTGGAGATTCGATTGCATTGGTTAGAGAACTCTTGTTCTGAACTCAAAAGCGAAAAAAACTCAGTCGAATATTCTTCTACTGATCTCCTTCCTTGTCGCAACTTCTGCAAGCGTTGAAACATCACTTGATCATAGTTGAATGGTAAGAACATCTTACGCATCTTCTTCTATACTGATCTTCTTCTTCAAATCGTCCCATGAAAAGATTTATTTACTTTATATATATGTATTTGATTAATTATGTATATAATATATATTTTGATCACGGTAACAAGAAAATCTAGGGACCTTGACCAAGTCTTTGATAGGATTAGGATTTATAAGATTGGTTCGGACTTCGGACCTTACATATCATTATTTTTAGTTTATTTTTGTTAATCACGAAAATATTGATTCTATCTGTTTTCTATTTTAAATAAAAAAAACCTAAAGTATGATTAAATAAAGCCTTTTATCGAAAATATCACTAGGAATTATCATATTATAATATATATTTTTTTGGTTAAGATAAACATTAAAAATCATCAAATTCCTAAAGAGAAAAGGATTATCTTAAACGAGACTTCGGGTCTATATAAACAACATAGTGCTCTCCCAACTTCTCACCAACACAAACTCATAAACTTCATAAAATCTCTTAGAAAGTTGTTTTCTTTCTTTATTAGCTTCTTAATTCTTTCGTTTTCAAACAATCGACCATGTCTTTGATCAAAAGAAACGTCTTCTTTATTTCTTTGCTGATTTTTCTAGCACTTTGTGGAGTTTCCATTGGAGGAACCGTTCACCAAGTTGGTGACTCTAATGGATGGGCGATTATGAGCGTCAATTACGATAGATGGGCCTCTTCAAGAACTTTTCATGTCGGAGACTCTTTGGTTTTCAAGTACAACAAAGATTTCCACGACGTCACTGAAGTCACTCATAATGATTTCAAGCTGTGTGAACCGTCTAAACCACTAACGAGATACGAGACCGGATCTGATACCGTCATTCTAACCAAACCGGGACTCCAACACTTCATATGCGGATTTCCAAGTCACTGCGACATGGGACAAAAGCTTCAAATCCATGTATTACCGGCCTCTTTGGGACCTGTCGCTGCTCCGGTTCCTGGACCCATCCGATCACCTAGCTCTTTGATGTCTCCTTCACCGTCTTGGTTGGCTAATTCACCGGTTAATAATGCTCCACAGTATCAGATGGGACCATCACCAGCTCCACTTAGCGTAGCTTCATACTCTAGTGTTTGGATCGGACTCTGCTTCCTTCCTTTACTTTCTCTTTTCATCTTAGTTTGATAAATTTACACACGTTTTGTGTTTTGCTTTTAGTTTGACTTCTTACGTTTGAGACTTTGAGTTGTAGTTTTTTCTTCCTTGAGTTGTTTTGTTTACTTTAGTGAGGTAAATTTATTTATTTTTGATCTCCTTATGCTCGCTTAAATTTTTACTTCTTGCACTTTCGCTACCGGAAAAGTGTTATTTTTTTTTTGTTTCTAGCTTGTCAATTTCAAAATCTCTACTAATTTCTAAGAATATAAACCAATGAAATAGTGAATTATATATCTCTCTCTCTTATTCTAATCATAATCAACCCACATAACTTAATTTGTTGTTGACTAAATCTCATTGACATCACGTAAATTATGTTGATTCTAATTCCAAATTAGATTAGGAGTTATCTTTTTTTTTTTCTCAATAGATATATTTTAACATATAATGATAATAAAAATTGAATATTTTGTGCATGTTAAAAGCTAACTGATTAATTGTAATTCTACCATGTGTCAGAGTTTTCAACGTTTAGGTTTATATAGTAAGATCTATAATATATCCACAACAACAAAAAAATCACATTAATAATTCTTTACACCAAAATATACGTACTTTTAAAAAAATTGATAATGTTTAATTTTTTTTTTTTGATAATGTTAGCTATACAAATAAATATATTTCTCGTCACATATCTCTATATATACACGCACAAATCTAAACAGTTTCCTCACAATAGAAAATCTCTGTAAGTTCCATCTTTTTTTCATTGTGTTTCTACGTCTCTGATCAAGGAAAAAATCAGCATCAATCATGAAGAACACAATCATGGGTTTGTTAATTGTGGCATTGTCACTATTTGGTTTCGTTCGTGCTACATCTTTATACGAAGTTGGAGACTCCAACGGATGGACAACAACGGTGGGTGTTGATTATTACAAGACATGGTCTTCTTCAAAGACTTTCTATGTTGGAGATGTACTCATTTTTCAATACAACAAGACTTTTCACAATGTGATGGAAGTGAGTTTCCAAGATTTCGAATCGTGCAACCCTAATTCCCCTCTGACCACATACCAATCCCAGTATGAACCGGTTATTCTTAACCGAACCGGTCACTACTATTTCATATGTGGTGTGCCTGGTCACTGCGAATCTGGTCAAAAGCTCGACGTCCTAGTTATGCCTGCGTCTCTAGAGAATACTACTCCCATTATTCAACCAAACAACGCATCTTCTTCTAATCCTAGTCCTAAGCCTTCAGAGGATCCTCTTGAGGTTCTTCCTGTAGATGATGCAACAATCGCAACACTTCCTTACAATGCAGCCTCAAGTCTTTGTGTGTGGAGTGCCTTAAGCATGCTCTCGTTCTTTCTTCTACAAACCTTAGTTTTTCTTTGAGGTGTTTTTTAGGGTTTACTTATGAGATTTTTAAGTTGGTTTTCTTTTATTGCCTTATAAATGTTTACTAGTGTTTAATTTTGTTTTTTTTTCTTCATAGATTGCTTTTCTCTCTATAGTTAAATATACATGATTTTCTAAAATCTTCTTCTACTTCTTCATTATGCTTTGGTATAAGATTACCGATAATTTTTCTAACATATCAAAGAGTTAGAAATTCCAATAAAATAACCCACAAAACTTTCTTTATAACGACAAATCCTGTGAACCGCAATGATAATACAACATCGGGATCGATCTATCTTCTTATTGTTATCAATACAAGAATGCATCTTCTTGCGTATAAGTTACGAATCTATATAATCTGAATGTTTCTCGTACATATTTTCTTTTTCTAAGATTGTGACAAGCACTAAACCAGCTTTCAATAAAAACTGAACCAGAGAGTCAACTGTGGAAGATATAACTTTACTCTTTGGCTCGTTTGCTCAGGGATTTACGCTTGTTAACATCTAGACATCTTTTCCTCAACCGAATCGTCTTTGGTGTAACCTGACCACATTAAACCAATACCAATAAACGCATAAGAAGCCGGAAACAAAATGTTCCTCATGGATCATATATGATTAGCTAGATTTAGAATTAATCGGTGATGAACAATGTACCTCAATAAGTTCATCTGAGGCAACGTATCCTATAGCTTCCTCTAGTGTCATCTGAATCGAAAAAGAATTCAAAAGTTAAACAACAAAGCGTAGTGATCAAGAAAACAGTTTTCTCGTCTCTTTATATGTTGTGACAAGAGAAAGGGTACATACAAGGCGAGGTGGAGATAGCTTCACATTTTCGTCTTTCCCAGCAGAGCGAATGTTGGTAAGTTCTTTGGCCCTAACTGGGTTAACCTGTAGTGTAAGGGCAGGTGAGCTCATGGCATTTAGAGAATTCGTTGTGATTTTTCAGTATGAAGAGGAGAAAGTCAAACCAACTTACATCAAGATCTGTATCTCGTGAATGCTCACCGATAATCATACCATCATATGACTGTTAAAGACAGAAAAACAAAAGAAGATGCAGCATTAGTATGGATCAAACGCCGAAAGACCACATAAAATGTTCCAATCAAGAACAGCTAAACCGAGAAAGAAATTTCTGTATCATATTTAGATGGTTCTCACATCCAGCCCCGGAGACACAAAGAGAATTCCACGAGCTTCCAAACTCATCAGAGAATGGGCTGTGATCGTACCAAATCCCATAGAAACCTGTTTCATCAAGATAAATAAATTACGATTAAAACTTGAGAGTACATACAAATTTTTATGAAGGAAAAAAATCAAGCGAAAGGGATCTTTTATTGAAATAAGCGCAACAAGCCATAGACATACCAATACTCCTTTCCTAACATTTCCAAGCGGACCTCGGTACTTTTCATAAGCTGCAATAATGCGATACACAAACAGCTATCAGTTGAAGTAATAAAACTTAAAATATCTACGATGCTTCTAACTATAAGACAGGTATTTTCATGGAAAAGGTAGGCTATATGTTTGCATCTATGATGAATCCTCTTTACAAGAAAATCAATGATATCTGAAACCGTGTTTAGCAGATATATGCAAGAAATATTGTTTACGTAGATCATTTCTCTAGAAAAGAAGTCAACTGAATTGATGAGAAAAGAGATGGACAAATAAGGGACTGGAGTTGCAGAAAATGCAAGTAGAAAAGTTTCATACTTAGGAAAGCACGATGCATGAATCCAGTTCCACGGGTGTCGCTGCTAAACACACATCTGTACCCAACCAAACCTCTGTAGAACACAAGTATACGTAGGTTTTATTTCTTCCAGGGGAATAACTGAATCAGCCGCGAGCAAAATTTTATGAAAATAATTACAAATAGTAAGCTAACCTTGAAGGACAAGTTAGTGACAGCCTCGTCCTACCATCATTTCCAGGGACAGGGCCCATGTCAATAACTTCCGCCCGCCTGTGGGAGAGAGCTTCCATCACTAATCCTACGTGTTCTTCATTAATCTCAATAGTCACCTCTTCAATTGGTTCAAGCCTTTGTCCCTTGTCAGTTTTATACCTGAACATAAAAGGACAAGCGCTCAGAAGTCAGAAGAAGAAATACAACAAAGTTTTTAGAAATAAAGACACTATAAAGGAGCTTTTCTAGGCTAAAAAGTAATCCATAGTAGATCAAACAATGATTTAGTGTAGTAGTAACAGCAGAGAGATCAGGTAACTTGCTTTATGACACAAACTGGCAAGACCCTTTTCTTCAAAAGCCCACAAAAGAACCTCTACAACTACCAACATCTAATAAGTAATAACCTCTACAACTAACTCCGATAGTACGTAGTGTAACTTCAGCAAAACAAACAAAGAGATGCGACTAACATGACTTTAGGTGGTGAGACTGAGAGCTCAAAACCTTCCCGCCTCATATTCTCAATCAAGATACCTGTTAGACACGACAGAAATTAATTTACATGGCATAGAGAAACAAATACAGCTACATGTTTTCTGGCGTGTTTCATATTTTATATCCGTCTTTACAGGTGAACACAAACTGGAAAAGTACAAACCAAGTTGAAGTTCTCCTCTCCCTTGGACTTCATATGACTCTGACAAGCCTGGAATAACGTTTATGGCAAGATTTGTTTCAGCTTCTGCCATTAACCGGTCCCCAATTCTCCCTCCAGTTAACTGCATGCAGATTAGCAAAAGCCTATAAACATGTGCCAGAACGAGTGGTCTACCACCTAACACAAAATATTTCTTCAAATATCGTTAAAAGGGACAAATTTACTCTGATGCCAGCAACATATAGGTGAATTAAGATGAAAAGGAAATGCAGTGACCCAAAGGTAAATCTGAGGTTGTAAAAGTTTAACGCAGAGTACAAGACTAGAGCTATATCTTGTCACTAAAATTAAACATACGTGGGTACCATCCCGACCAGCCAGAGGAGAGTCATTGACACCAAACGTCATAGAAATTGTTGGTGGATCCAGCTCAACAGTAGGGAGTGCAGTTGTGACCTCTGCACTAGCCACAGTGTGACCTATTGATGGAGCTGCCAAACCAGCCATACAGATAATATCACCAGCCCCTGCAGCGTCAATTGAAACTATGGTTGTACCTTTCTTCTTCATTAGCTTCACAACCTATATGAAAGATGTTTGTATCTGTTTAGATGAGAACATCACACTTCGTAAACACGGCTAACCAAGTACAAAGCAATATGCACACAAACCTTTGCTTCTTCTATTTTCTCAGAGCCGGAATCAGTTTTGCGTAGCCCATTGACTCTGTCACCAACACGAACAACTCCAGAAGTTACTCTTCCAGTTAATATTCGTCCGAGATAGAAGTCCTTCTCCATCATTGAAACCTGGAAATCAGAAGCGAGAACGCTAGTTAAATATCATTGCCAGGGATTAAGCTATTCAGACATTTTATATCCTCAAAATAATAGTTACGTACAAATGAATCTATTCAAATCTTGGCACATTAACTACATAACACGAATACATTCAAACTAGGAAAGCCGAAAGTCATAAACTGAATATTATCTCATGAAGTGTCCAACCAATGTCTTCCTTTCCCAAGGAAATTAGTTTGACAAAATCACTTGTACTTTCTTGAAAGTTACTGACGGATATAGTTGCATATAACTATAGTTGCTTCTAAACTCAAACAACAAGTCTACTTACTTAACAAACATTCAAAGATCAACAGGAATTATCTGAAGGTCTAGTGTGGAATGCTAAACAGAAAATGAAATCATGGGAACTGTGTTAGTCTATCTCGGCCGAAGTTAAAGAGCACAATTCAAAGATAAGCTACTTGATATTGGACAATCAGAAAAGTGAAAGAAGTTGCTTGCACAAAATTGGCCAAGCAAGTTAAGAATTTCATTATCCGGAGTTTTATATTACCAGCATCAGAAATGGCTCATCAAGGTTTGCTTTTGGAGGCTGAACATGTCTTACTACGGCATCAAGCAAATCTGCCATATTCTTTGCATCTACAGGAGGGTCTTTGGTATAGGTAGAAGATGCCCACCCTTCTTTTGCAGAGGCATAAAGCACCGGAAAATCTAGTTGTTCCTCTAAATAATGGAGAAAAAAAAAATATTGATTTAGTAATGATTTGTAAATTATTAGAATACATATATTATACTTTGATAAATTAATCACCTGTAGCACCAAGATTTGCAAAAAGATCAAACACCAAACTCTCCACTTCGTCACACCTCTCTTCTGTGACTGTCATCGGAAAAAGATTGAGGAAGCATTTTAAATAAAATGAAACAAAACAAAACATGAGAAACTAAACTAAATCAATGAAAGGGAGTGGATGCAATGCGTACCTGAAGGTCGATCTACCTTGTTTAAGAGTAGAATCGGTCGTAGCCCGTACTTCAAGGCCTTGGCAAGAACAAACTTAGTCTGTGCAAGAGGACCTTCTCCAGCATCAACAACTAATATAGCTCCTTCAACCATACCAACAACTCGTTCAACCTAAATTCGAATGTAAAAATAGTCACAAAAATATCACCTATGTTCTACAGTAAGGAGTATCCTAATGTCACCAAACCATGAGTAGGTATAGTAAACTTCTAATTAATTTATCTTATGTCCACTAATATGCATTTCTACTAAATCGAACATGAGAATCAAAAATACGCTAAAAGTAACTATTTTATCAGGGATCAGTCTCATACCTCACCACCAAAATCTGCGTGACCAGGTGTGTCTACCATGTTAAGTTCGTTTTCCTTCCAAAATATGGATGTCACCTGTCATAAAAATTTCACATAAACTTCAAATGTTGTGCTACGTGGTAATAAATAATAAACAAGTATCTCAGGGAATTGGCAAAAGAACACATCAATTTACAGACAGAACAGAACAAACTGACTCAAAAATCTTCAGACAGAACAGAACATAACAAAAAAAAAGACAGAAAGTCTTAAGCTTTAGTCTAAGAACACAGAAAAAAGAAAGCTTTTGATTCATCATTCAAGAACCTAATACTTCATATCATCACTCAATACAGAACCATTTTCAACTTGTGAAGTAACAATTAACTCTAATTCCAATCCAAACAAACGAAATGCGATACCTTTGAAGAAATAGTGATCCCTCGTTCACGCTCAAGATTAATAGAATCCATAGCACGCTCATGTGGAATATCAGCACCACACTGACGAAGAAGCCGGTCCATAAGCGTTGTCTTCCCATGATCAACATGAGCTATAACAGCCACGTTCCTTAGTCGATTAGGGTCAAGCGAGCTACTAGGAGCTCCGGCTGCAGCTGAGGAAGCGGTGGCTGCTGAGAAAGAGCGTAAGGAAGAGAGCGAGTATCCGAATTTGGAAGGTGATGATTGAGAAGAGAAGGATCTTCGAGTGGTGTTTGACCAAAGAGATCGAAGCAAAGGCCCCGCCATCTTTGTTCACGCGAAAATGGTCTCTCTGATAGGGTTTTAGATCTAAAATCTCTGGTGACGATGACCAAAAGGGTTTTTGGTCTAAAACTGTTTGGAATTTATTTTATCGTTATTGCAAAAGTAGGATACTAACTCTTTTAAATTATCAGATTTTTCCTATATTTTTCAATTTGTAATACTACTCCGATTTGATAATGTAACCTCTCATCATGAAATAATTATAATATTCGGGTTTTTTTATATATTAAATAATAGAAGTGATTCTGATAATTGATATATAGCTAATATGAATTGGGAATTTGACTCTATGTGTTGTAATGTTGTGGTGGTTTTGATGAAGAGATTTACATGTATTAGGAAAAAATGGAGAATTCATGGTAGATAGTTTGAAGACTTCAGAAATTCATTTATGGTTAAAGTAAGTCTATCGACAATGGTTCTTAAAATTCTTTTTATTATGGGATTTGAAATCTTTTACGGTGATCATATACATTGTATTATGGTAAAGTTTTTGTTGGTATGTTTATGTGGATGATGCCATGATAGTTTGGTTTTTGTTTTTAATTGAAATTTCGGCTATATAGTCATTTCCAACTCAAAGATCTTGGTCATCTTCAGTATTTTTTTTCTTTTGGAAATTGTTATATCATCAAAAAGCCTTAATGTTTGTCATTAACGCAAGTTACATCTTGGAGATGTTTTCTGATAATGCTACTTTTGGTGGTAAACAATGTCAATTCTCATATGCACCAAGGGACATATAGTTCACAAGATTGTTTGTTTCTTAAAGAAAGCATTGGACAAAGCTTGTTTTTTTACTTTGCTGCTCTAGACCTAACTCTTTGAGGTTTCACTGATTATGACTAGGCAGATTATCTACAAATTCGCATGTATGTATCTTGGTTTTTGTATGTTCATTGAAAAATTAATTCATTTTTCGGAAGTCGAAGAAAAAAAAATTAATTGTCTATCAAAGCTGAATACAAAGTTATGGCTCTTGGAATTTGTGAACATGTTTGGATTGCTTATATATTATGTAAAAATATAAAGCTTGTTTCTTATGCTCTCGGTGTACTCTACGGTGACAACACTTTAGCTCTTTATATTGCTTGGGATCCTATTTTCATGAGAAAAAAAACTAAATACATAGACATATATTTTCATATTTTTGGCGTATCAGTTATAGTCTTATGAAGCTTCATGAGCTTCAACTAGTATTAGTAAATGATTTATCTAAAATTTGATACCCATAAGAGTTTCAGAAGTTACTTTCAAGATGAGTGTTAGATTTTGATTGTACCGGTTTGGTCTACCGCCTACCTGTTGGTTTAGGTTTGTTGGGTTACACTTAGTATATAAAAACCAAAATTGGTTAGATTTTGATAATTTGATTGCACCGATTTGGTCTACCGCTTATTTTCGGAAATTATAGTAGATATTTTGACACTTTAAATTGGTTAAATCTTTTTAAAACAAATGTGGTTTACCAGTTTTTCTTCTAATCAAAATGCACCCATCACATTCACAAAACTGTAGATTGAAGTTGTAATCCTTTTGTTGACCTCTTCTAATAATCCAAGCACAATCCATAATCAAAAGGCCAAAGTAGTCATTCTCATATTAGATATATGACTTCTAAAAGTACGAACATTCTTTAGCTTTTAACGTCTTGTATAAAAATGATGATCATCGTTGGGATAAAAATTAATGATCATCATGTGACTACAAAGTACAAACTCCTTTAACCTAAATATATTATCATGTATTTCTCAAACCAATAAATGCATATATATACTATACATGTGCCAAAAAAGTGATAAATGTCATTCTCTATAGCCCGCCTATCTATATGACTAAAAATTTATTCCAAAATGAATTATAGAAAAATCTTCTTTCAAACCCAATAAGACCAAGTAAAGCAGACTAAACTATCGAGATCCTTTGGTATCACTGTCACAAAGCATTGAATACTCAATAGCAACTTTTTCATAAAAATCCCAAATTTGTAATAATGTTGACTTTTCTATTAAATAGTCGCAACTTTTTAGCAAGCTAAGCTAAAAATAAAAGTCATCAGAACTCAGAAGCTATGTTACAAAAGAAATTTGGTATCTGCACAGATGATAATGAACACCTCTTCTTCATTACTCATTTAATACGACCTAAGCTTTCAACGTTCTTCTATTACTCTTTACTTAACCGAATAAATAGAAACCGCAACCAAAAACCAGAAAATTAAACTCGTGGAACAAAAAATGAGATTACAATATCCCAGCCTAAGGCCATACTAAAGCCAAAACATACATAGAACCATCTAGTTTCAATAGCATAATCTTGATGATCAATGCAAAGATCATAAAAACAAACAAGCAAAATTGAATAATAATAACAATAACACCAAAAGAGTAATTATAGTCTTGCATCATAAACATATGGATAGATGGTATACTAATTAATATATCGCGTACTCTAGCTCCATTCCTCACATTAATTCCTCCTTTTTGTTCAATGTCATGATGAATTAGAACCTCCATTGTTGTCTGAAAGAAATACATGTGGTTTATTATGAAAGATTCTAACATATAATTAGTGTGTGGTTTCTTGATTAACCTAATATATAATTAAGATACATTACAAAAGAAGAAGAAGCAAACCTGAGTTTAGAGGTGTGAGTTTGGAGGAGAAGAAGAAGAGTTTGGTTGAGTAGATTCTTCTCCATGGAGTAGCCTTGTAGTGTTGGGGAAACTAAGGCCTTGCATCATCATCATCCCATGAGAACCAAACTGTGATGATGAAGCAAACATCGAAGAAGCTTGATTCTGATGATGATGATCCGACACCGTTTGATGATGATCCCAAGAACGAAACGAATGAGGGAATAAACTGGACTGAAGGGTACCCCTTTGTTGTTGTTGTTGTTGGCCACCAAGAAACACTTGTTGCTGCTGACTATTAAGCAATGTCATCATCGACGGTTGATGATGATGATGATGATGAGGATGATGATTCACCATGAAACCACCGTTACTCCTTTCTTCTTGTTCTTGTTGTTGATGTTCTGATGAGGATGATGACGTCATCGTTAAGTCGGGATGATTCCATCCAGAGATTCTCCCGAATGTGTCGAAATGATTCGTGGTGAAGTTGTTGGCCTCGGGGACTACTACTGTGTTGTTGTTCCCTTGAAATGGGTGAAGAGAGAGACCAAGATCTTGGCTAAGGTTCGGTGTTGTTGTTCTTGAGACCATGTTGTCGTCATCATGATGAGGGTAGTTTTGGAAATTCATGGATGTACCACCAACACCACCGCCGCTTGTTGTTGTCGTCGCCGGGAAGAACGTTTTCATTGCGTCTTCAGGATCAAGATTGGCCGCCACGAACTGCGTTTGGTCATTGTTTTCTCTTTGGAAAACCAAATTGGGAGATTCCGGTTTAGTATTCACCGGTTCTTGACGAGCAGTAGTAGTAGTAGTAGTAGTCTCCCCGATTTCGAGCTTATCGATGGCGGTTTTGGCTTTCTTGATGAGCCAATCAACGGCTTTGCTAGGCCGGTCATACCCTAACCGGTCTTGCACATCGTAGAACTGAATCGCAGTATGAGCTGAGAGTCTCACGCGCCGGTCACGTGGACCCTTTGATGTGAAGACTTTGCTATGACGGTCTTTGCGTCCCGTGGCTCGGATTATGTGACCGCCTTGAACCTCAACTATCTCTCCTCCTCCTTCTCCGACGCTATAACCTTTAAGTCCCATTTCTTTTTTTACCTTTCAAAATGACATTCCAAGAGTTGTTTTTAACTTGGAATAAAAACTTGCGTGCCGTTTTTGTTGCCCACTTGCTTTGTTTAGCTCTTCAAAATGCTTGCCGTTTTGTTGTTGTTGTGGTGTTTGGTGTGTAGTGAGTTAATAACATCTGATGCAGGCTGGACACAGCTACCTGAAAGCTGCTACAAGAAGCAACTCTTCTATGCAGATCCCCAAAAGATCTGCCATGGCAGTCACAAGATTCAATGACCCAACATACCCAAATCAAAAAAGGAAAAAAATGAAGAAATATTTAAAAGAAAAGAGAGTGGAATCTTTAGTCTAGGGTTTTCCCAAAGAGATGAAAATTTGGACAACAAAATTGATATTAAAAAAGAGAGAGAGAGAGAGAGGGAGAGAGAGAGACTTTAATTTGATGATATGTTTAGTTGGTCTAAAATCAAAGGACAAGAAGAAGAAGAGGAAAAAAAAGGATAGCAGAAGTGAAGGGTTCTGAATAGGAAAGTAAACTAAATAAATACCCTTTTGCTTTCAACCTTTTGTTCCTTATTATAAGATTCCTATTTCACATATCAACATGTGTCCTTGTTAAGTTCTTAGCCACATATTTATTTATTTCACTTTTATTTGTTACAGAAAAATTCCTCAATCATTATTCTTCAATCATGCGTGCCATATCGAATTCTTCAAACATACATAACTATGTGAAAAAAAAACCCACACACACACACACATATGACATACCTATATATGTATATCTTAGTTACACCAAATTGTATGAAGCAGAGAAAAAGAAGTTACACCAAATTGTAACATTTTGTTCGGTTAATGTCAAATTCTCCTTCACTAATTATTTAAATTAAACCTTGAAAAGCATATGTTTCACACAACATACACACACATGTTGGTCGGCTTAGAATTACATGTTAATCAAAGTCGGCAATGGAATAATTTGACTCTAGTATGATTGATGTTGAGTTCCAATTATTTATTTTTTATTTTGTTAAAGTCACGTTTATTTTTATGGATACCATACAGGGAGAGAGAAGAGATTGTATGTGTTTCATTCACGTGGATAACTATGATTAAGGCCTAATGTTGAATGAGATTCGCATTTCGAGGAGCAAAAAGTGTAAGGAACTTATGATTAAGGTCATCGTCTGAGAAATCTACCTTTCCTTATAATTACAATTCTACCAACAAAGAAGAAGAAGAAAAAAAAAACTTTTTCCTTCTATGATTAAATTTGTATATTTAAGCCGTTGATAATGATACACAACAGCTTTTTCTCGTTCCACTAAAAAGAGAGGGCAATGAAATAGACTTACGTTTCAGACTCTTTTTTTCTTCTTACCACAACCATACGTTATACATTTGAATATTTGTTTGGATTTTTGGAATAATGTCTAGATATGTTTATTTACCATAGAATTTTTTCATCAAAATTGAATCAGAGCTATAAATTATTCATTTAACATATGTCTAATGGGTATGCAAACAATTAATGAAACAAATATTTCCCTTGATCTAGATTTGGTTGTCTTTGTTTGTTTTGTCATAAACCAAAATTAAAATATAATGAGAACAAAAACAGAAATTAAAGAAAAAGTGTGAAAATGTCGTCAACTTGAAGACTCCCAAAAGTTAAAGAAAAAAAAATGCAGGATTGTTAGGTTAATGTCTTTCGAAAAAGCATACGCGCATGCAAATCTGCCTTCATCTCAAAAGATTCCACATTATACTTCCCCAAAGTCGTGAAACTTAAGTTAACCCTACACCTTCTATATCTTATCCAACATATCCACTTTTTCAATAAATCATTTCCAATTTTAATTCATGCTTACTTAAAATACTTCTATAGTTGACTATTGATCTTGGCCTATGAATAAGTTTGGCGAAGTGGCTGGCTCTCAGTCAAGAGAACCTTACTGGTTATTTCGCGTCTAAGCTAGACTGTGAGAGAGAGACTTGTAACTCTTCTCACATGCATTACTATTTACCCCCAAAAAAAACAAAATTTACCGCCATTCAGGACATAACGTAGGAAATCGAAATATTTACCAAAAATATTTGGGGAAAGAAATTCACCAATTAATCATGCTTAACATAGAGTAATGTTTTAGTAGTAGTGCATATGGAAAACTATTGTGTTTCAAAATTGCTGTTGAAACAATTTCTCTCTATAAGTGTTCATTTTTTGAATGAATTCACATGAAAAGGAAAAAATCTTACAACGTTAAACCTATTTAATTGGTCTTAAAGAGAGACCCTTGCGACATGTTTTCGTTTACTGTTTTATCTACAGTTTTCATCTGTTTCCAAGTCTAATAACTGGTTTTTACATAAATATTTAATTGAAGGCATTAACTGAAAATTGATAATTTGAGTCCTTTTTCCAACTGGAAAGTAGGCTATATCTAGATAGGAAGAACTAGGCAGCGTCGAGAATAATGTAATACAAATGTATAATAATTAAAGTGTTGGGCATCAGGGAACCTAACTAAATAATTGCTACTTAAGCTCCTTTTTTCATTTCTCACATTAACCTTTTTCGTAGGCTTATCTTACTAGTTGATAATTCACAGTCATCTTTCTTAAAATTAATTTTGTGAGTAATACAATATTGTATTCATTTCTAAAATCTTTCTCTACCTTTTTTCTACATGATAGCATTTAATTCTAACTTTGTGTATAAGAATATGAACCAAAGGTTCACTGATAGCATTAGCATAGATCTGATCTTATATTTTTCCAAATTAATTGTTAACTAACTTTAAATGGTTTGATACTATAAAAACCGCCTACAAATGAAAATTAATTATATTATTGTTGTAAACTAAAATTATTTCATATATATATATATATATATATATATATATATATATATATAAATATTACAAAAATCCTTAAAAAATGGTATTCGAAACATATTAACTAGTGTAGATTACCATATAGTAATATATAACACAAAAATTAAAAATATTAGGGGTGGAGATAAAAACAAAACCAAAATAAGCAAACCAATATGACTACAACCCAAAGCATAACTCAATTTTATAACAAACCAAACGGTAGATAAAATTTACACCAAATAAACCAAATCGGTTATGATTTTTTTTTTGCAACCGAACCTGATAAAATTGAATTCGTTAAAATGACATTTTAGTTAAATATATAAAATACATTTTAAATATAAAAATTTATTATATCCTTTTTTATATAATTGTTAATCCAAACCAAACAAAATCTGAACTAAACCAGACCAACATAAATAAATTTTGGTATTTATTCTAACATTTTTTAAAAACCTGAAACGAGAACCAACCTGATGTTCAATCCTAAGAAATATTCACATTTAAATATATCTAATAAATATTCTGAGGTTTATATATGATTATTTATTTAGATTTTATCATTCATTATTTTCACTTACTATGCATGTTTAACTAATTTTTTATTTCAGTTCTTAAAACAAACCTTTTTTATTTAGATAGTCCATAAATCGATCAATTGGACCATGTAAAAATTGACCGTACAAGAGAGAACTCTCATAGTCAGAAACTGCAGCATATAATATTCTAGTCAATCAGAGCCTGAAAAAAAAGATTTTATAGTTGCACGAATTGAATAAGCGTAGATTGACTCGCATTGATACCCCAAATAACTTGCTATAATATTCGTAACTTTGTATATGAAGAAGATCATGTTATTTTCTGTAACGTGTATTGTTATTACTTATAAAAAAAACGTTAAATTATACCCTTTGCCTTTAGAATGTACTATAGAGTTTCCGAACGTTGAAATTTTGTGTGGCTACATATTTAGCAAAAAATCTATTAATCTAATGATATTTAGTTAATTTTTATTTTATTTTATGTTAGTTTTTTTTTGGGTCAAAAACCTGCATTATCTTTCATATTTTTATTTTTGTAATTTAGTTATATAATTTTTAGTGTTTATTTTTTTCCCACCACAATTGAATAAGAATACTATTATACTCCTTAGAATTTATTTAATACAGAGTTTTAACTAGCAACAAGTAAGACTTAGTTTTAAACAATCTGAACCACCAATTCATAGTTAGGAAACTTTTTTCCGGTTAAATGGATTTTATTTACTGTCTTTTAAAAATGGATACCTCTGCAAACAACATTTGTTCTTTAGCCAGAGAGTTAAACTGTCAGTATCAAGACAGAGAGATAGTAATCAATGCGATTTATTATTTGCTAAAAGGTTCACGGTACAAAAGAAATTCATTGTGATATTGCAAGTTCCATAATTATAATAGTATATTGTAAATTGTATGCAAAAAAAACAAAGGTGTAGGGTTAAGGCATATACTGTGTTGCAGACCTTGAAGACGAGAGGACGGTGGCAGAAATGGACCCCTCTTCCATCTTTACTTCTTCTTTTTTTTTCCATGTTTTATTGTTTCTATTGGTTTCTTTATCAACTTATTCACTTTAGTCTATAGTTAGTACGACGAAATATAAAAGTAAAAACACTCAGCCCAACACTATGATCTACCAAGCTCTAGCGTTCGTACAAGAACATTGATACATGATTGAATCAAAATTCTTATTATTACGTTCCATTTCATAAGAATTCATACCATATAGGTGATATATCCACTAATGTTTGTTCATTTGATCATTAATGAAATATTGTATGATTGACCAGTGATCACAACATATTTCTCTTGGCGATTACAAACTCGCTAACTTTTTTTTATTCTGAAAGTAATGTTAAATTAATTTCAAAGAAAAAATATACGTTTTTACAACTGGCTAATTTTTCTCGATCTTGTACCGATTTACTCTTTCTATTATTCGACATCTCATTCCCGTAATTTACTCTTCTAAGGTAGATATATATGCTTCTCCAATGTTGTTTTTTTGAGAACTCATTTAAACGTTGTGTAAATGTAAATGAAATTTACAATTTCTCGTGGCGACTTGACTTGATTTTGCCACATACATCTCCACACTTTTAACTAACATTGAATTA